CAAATTCAAATTGGGGTTTGCGTATAAAAGGGTTTTTTGGTCCTCTCTTTACAACTTTACGCGATCAATATTTTCCCAAATTTTCTTGCCCGTTATGTTATGTCCTCCCAAAAACACTCAAACCCTAATAATGGCGGCTTCAAATGTGACTATTGATCGTTCTCAGACCATCGATGACAACATGTAACGCCCGTGTTTCTAGGCTAAAAGCATTAATAAAGTTGTAATAGTCTAGGTCAACCTTTGTAACTCATTTTGAAGTAATAAAGAGGAATTATGTGAATTATATGCTTATTTGCTTAATAATTATGATTTAATTAAGTAATAAACAAGGATTTCGAAGATATAAAGAACGCCGAAATCCGAGTTATAACGAAGAAGTTATGACATATCGAAGCTTCGCGATGAAACCGACACGGCACCGGGAAGCGTAAAAAGTGAATGTTGCTATAAAGTACTTTTTAGCCTTAACAATCTAAACGAAAGTCATAGTATTCGTTAAGCCAATAATTTTCATAAAAAGAACGTCCAAATCTGACTTCGTATGAGGAAGTTATGATTTTTCTAAGTTTTAGCTTAGCAATAGACAGCTAAATACTCGAATTTAAGATCGAGTGATATTTAGCTGACACAACCTAAACGAGGATCGAAGGTCTCGTCAATAGTAGTACAACGGTAAAAAGACTGACGAAAACGGACATCGGATGAAGAAGTTATGAATTTTTAACGGATTTTCCTATCCCGGTCTGTTAAAAATAATAATATTAAAATTAAAGTCAAAATTAGCTGACGAAGTCTAAACGAAAGTTGTAGAGTGTAATTTTAGCTACACGTGCATATAAAGAACCTAAAAAAACGGAGCTCGTATGCGAAATTATGGATTTTAGAAGTTCGGAGCTGAAAATTCGAAAATTTTCGCATGAATAGTAACCGGCCACGTCACTTCACACGAAGCTGCTGCGTCACCGAAGATGTGGCCGAATCTGGATCTGACGCGTTTCGCTATTCCCTCGGACCGAAGTCTCAACCAATCAGAAGTCGCCTCGTAGCCGCCGCATGTCCGAGTCTCGCAGGGCCACGTCCGAGCCTCATAGCCCGCCTCTGTGTCTTGCCTCGCTGCTGCCACCCGCCTCACCCCTTCGCTGCCACGTCCTCCTTCCGTGTCCGAACCTCGCAGGCACTACGTGGAGCCTCCTTAGCCACAAGCTCTCGGTCTCTCACCCTATATAAGGGGGGGGGGGGCTGCGAGCCTTCCCGACTACTTTTGGAAATTTGACATTTTTCACCTATAAACTTATATTTTGACTATTTTAACTTCCCCCGAAGCCCCGATATCATTTTTAAAGCCCGGAATACGTCCCGAAGTGCCTGAAAACCCAAAAAATTTTATCTTTTCGGTTTTGAAGCTCCAACTCTCGCAGAGCCCGGTTTTATCAGAAACGATCACTTTAAGGAACGAATTGCTACCCGATTATCATCAAATCAAGTGAGTGTATAGTCACTTTCATCTTACACATAGATATGAAGTATTTTCTATAAAATACGTGTTATGTGTAATTATATTGATTGTTTATTTGAGATGATTCTTGAATACAATGTTTTATACAAGTTACAAACTGTATATGTATTTTATCTACAAATATGTTGGGTAAAACATGGGTAGACGAAATAGTTGATGTGTGTTAAAATGATGAGAGGTCTCGGTGTTGTTGTTGTTCTAGTCATCTAGCGGAGTATGGATGACGACCACGGACTCTTTTAGACAGTCCAGTGGAACGCTGGCAGGCTCGCAACCTGTAGGTGTTGTGAACGATGTGTTCACCGGTGTACTCCATCCCCCTCATGGTTGCCTTTAGGACATTTATTGTTGAGGAACCCCCTTAGCAGTAGTGTCCATCCCGATGATAAAATCCTTAGACTAGGTCCCTTGTATAGGTGTTTAGGGACGTAAAGTGAGGATAACGGGAATGGGTAATCAGGGTTATTGTTGGTTTGATGAGGTTAATAAATTTATCGTTGATCGATGAAATTAATAAATTTATTATTATTTGTGGGTTGAAAACCCTATATGCTCACCAGGCTCCCAAGCCTGACCCACTCAGTTTTATGTATTACAGGTAGTCGCGCTCGAGCATAGTTGTGATGTGTTGGGATGAGGGATTACGGATATAGGCCTGTAAATATGAAATAATGTAGTAAGGTTTATATTGTATTGTTTATTCTTATGTACTGTATCGAACATGACATCCCAAGTCTTTTAATGAAATACATTTCTAAGGAAATGCTTTTGATAAATCTTTATCATATTATTGTTTTGGGATAAATTCCGCAATTCTTTTATTAAAAGGTTACTCTGATTTTGAAATAAAGTATAAACGAAACCGGTCTTTTCTGGCCGTGAAATTGGGGATGTCACACAACACTTCTCAACCATTACTGAAGATTCAAAGAACTAACTATGGAGTTCAACCGGATGTTACATAGTATCCAGAAAAATTGAAGATGCTCATTGTCACTTTGAACCACTCTGTTTTGTGTATAGCAATGTCGGCCTCTTATCTGTACCAATGACCTGGTTGTCACTTGTTGGTTCTGTTGCGTTGTTCAACAAGACCATCAATATGGTTACTTATCAGTTAACCAATGAGAAGAAGTTCAAGCTAACCAAGAATATTTTTGCACAAATCTTGAATATTCCTAATGTCGAACCTTTATATGAAGTCTCGAATGAACAACTTCTTCACATGTTCAATGAAATGGGTTATCAACCACTTCTAACAGAGATAATTGATTTCAAGAAATCTTCTTTTCCTTACATATGGAATTTTTTGTTTGGTATTTGCCGTCGATGCCTAACGAGTCGAAGCGTTGGCTTGGGTAAGGCAAAATATTCAATTTATGCCATGGTAGTAGATCTTTACTATGATTTACAGGTTGATTACACAACCCAATTGCGGGAAGAATTTGCAAAAAAGTATCGAAAACACGAATGTGGTGAATGGAATTTCTTGTGCTCGTTACCGGAGCCTACTTATGAAGTTTGCATATGAAAAGGAAGGTATTGTTGTTCCTGATGTTGAACAAAAGGCTGAATTTTCTCTGTATCAGTATATGAAGATGGTGGAGGATAATTCAGATGTGTTTCCATCGATTGCTATCCCTAATGCTATGCTTCGAAAGGTTGATCCTGCTCATCCAGTTCTTATTGCTTACTTACAAACAATCAATCCTTCGATTGAGACTGAGGTTCTGTTAGCAAAGAATGATAAAGTAAAAAGAGGCAAGCCTTCGAAGAAAGATACTAAGGCTAGTCCATCGAAGCCTATTACCGAGTCTACTCCAAAGAAGGTTCTGAAGGCTTGTGTTTCGAAACCTGATCTTTTTCCTATTCCAAAAGAAGTCGTTCATCCGGATCCTTCTCAAACAACAAATGTTGTTTTGCCTTTGAAGACGAGTGTTCTAAAAAAAAAGGTTAAATAAAATGGCTCACAGACCTCATCATTCTCCAGAACATGGTCCAGTTCATCATGACATTCCTGAAAAGACTATTTCATCACCATCTGAGACTTTTATTTCAAAGGTTAAAAAGATCAAAAAGACATAATTAAATCGAAAGGGAATACTTATTCATGAGATTCATGCTCTTGTGTCTCCGGCTTCCAAGAAAAGAAGAGCTCGTGATTTGGTAATGAAGATTAAAATGAATAAAAAGAAGATCGAAGAGTCTATTGATGAAGTAGTGGTGGAAACAGATTTCGAAGAAGATGCTACTCCATCTCCTATTTGACATGATGATACGTGCTTACCATCACCATTGAGGGACTCACCAGTCAAGTCGACCTTCGAGGTGACTGATAGTCTTGTTGGAAGTGTGGAAACATATTTTGTGGACACAGCCATCAATCAAGGTGATCATGCAAAACAACCTACTCCTGAGAAGACTATAGTCACACCACCCGGAGTTTCGAATTCTGAATCAGTTTCTGAGGAGGTTCGAACTTCAGGCATCCCTACGCACATATCTGATATGGGAAGAAATGTCAACATGGGTGACAGAGTGTCGAATAATGAATACCAAAGTAATCCTACAATTATCATTTCTTTTTCTTTTGGTACATCTACCATTGATACCACTAGTTCTCTACTACCATTTTATTCTTCAATTTTTACTACACTGACACAATCCACAAATTTTCCCACTTTTGAAAACATTATCGATCAACCCATCACTTCTTTAATTCCATCACAATCCCCAGAAGGCCCTAAATCTATTCTAGAAGATGATACCACAAAAGATGGTGATTTTATAGGATCTTTTTCCGAAATTCAATTTAATCCATAAGAGGAGAACATCCCATATCATATGTTAATATCTGGTAAACGGTTCAACATTATCAACAGGAAGATCAACTCCTTATTGAAAATTCAAGCTGATGTTAGGGTCGAAATACTGTCTCTGGTATTGAAGTCGATACGATGCTTCATGCTCAGGAGCTTAGACTGCAAGAAGCGATTAATCGGGTGGATCAGAATAATGAGTTAAGGATGAAATTTTAGTCTTCTACTTTTCCTAATGAATTAAAAGAGTTGTGAACTATTGCGAAGGAAAGGCATGTGTTATTTGTCAATGATGTGAAGATTGTTCGTGAAAATGTTAACAAGAAAATTAAGGAACTTAGGGTTGATATAGTGAAGACGATTGCAAATCTGGATCACAATTATTCCACTCTGCACACAAAAGTGGATATAATTGTTGATGCTATCACCAAAGTAGTTGGATGGTATAAATTGTTACTTCCCAAAGTTGATAAGAAAACTGGGGTTAATGCTCAAGGTTTTGAAAATTTTGAAGAGATGTTTGGTAATCTCAAGGAATTAATTTCGAAGTTTGGTTCTTCACATCATCCTTACTCACTCCATAATCCCTATATCAAAAACTTATGTTTTTGGAGTCGAAAATCAAAGTTGAGATGGCTCCATTGCTCAATTTCATAAATTTGATGCCATCTGATGCCCCACCTATTCGCACAGGGGTGCCAGGGGGAGAAATGGGTGGTGATGGAATGGGTTTAAAAACTGGGTTGGGAGGAAGTGGTTCAGGGAAAGGTGATGGTCATGTGAAACTGGTTGGAAGGGTTATGTCGACTCAAATTTCCACTTTATTGCTAAATACATCATCTACAGCTGCTTCAACAACAACAGCAACAACAACAACAACAACAACAAGACCATTGACGAAAGGTGTAGTGATCGTTTCTGGTGTTGGAGGATCAAGTTCATCGAAGCCTCCTCCATCAACAGAATAAATGAAAATAAAGGGAAGGGCGCTTCTACAGAACCAACTGCCGAAGAGAAAAAGGTTGGCTTGGAAAAAGAAATGGAAAGGCGAAGGCAGATTCAAAGCATTCTTTGTTAAAGAGCTAGTGACCCTCCTAATCTTGATAAGGGTGATCCTTCAAAGCATTACTTTTACGAAAATATCTAAGCTCTAATTATAAGTGAAGAGATGCATGATTTTGAAAAAATTCCCAAGAAAAATCCTTGCTACTGACAATACTGATTTTAATAAGTTGGATTTCCCAATCAACAAAATAATGTTCATGGCTATGCAATATCAAATCATTGATAAGTATAAAGACAAAGAATAATATAAACGATTGAAGATTCGATTCCATGCAGTTCTTGGAAAAAGGGAGGAGGAGATTTGGCCTTTAGTCAAGATAGTTCGAGTTCTCAACATTTCCAAAGACGTTTTGTTCGAGGGTATGTTTCAGAATTATCGATTTCATGCAGTATAAGAAAACGATGTAGCATTCGATTTTTCGGTTGCAGACTTCCCTTTGATGAACCTTCATGATCTGATTTGTGTTGCAAGGATTTTGAAAGGAGTTGATGTCTCAAAGCTTCAGATGACAAGCAAAGAAGATTTCTTAATCAAATTTGCTCACGTTAAGTTGTTTATAGACAATTACTATGAGTATCTTGCATTACCAGATGTCGAGTTAGCCTTGGAAATTGGAAAATAGATCATAGTGCCCCAATCTATGTTGAAGAGTCAAGCTAGTTTGAGAAGCTATGAAGATGGAGAAATATATTTGAAGCCACTTGGGATTGTGTTTGTTAGGAAAAACAAGAAGGGAAAGAACACGGAATTGCTATTTCAAGCTTGTGATGTTGAAAATATACCACACCTCATTATACAAACCACATTGTTCAAATGAATAGTTATGTAAAGAACAATGATGGCGACAAAGCTAAATTTCTCATGGTGGTTAACTAGTATGCAAAAATTCAAAGGGTGATTCATCAAACTGCTCAGATGTTGATGACTTAGATTCGACACTTCTCACAAAGGGTGAGAATGTTGAGACCGAATGTAGTTGTGAGGTGTCGAAGTCTGTCTATATCAGTCTTAGTGTCGAAGGATAGTTTGTATGTTTTGTATAAGGGTAGAGTTTATGTCGAAGTTGTAATGTTTTACTCCCATATATTTTTTGTACGTTTTTGTTATCCCTATAAATATGGGATGGGTACTAGAGTTAGAGTAGTTGTTGGAGTCTTCGACTTGTACTCTCGAATTTTCTATGTATCCTGTTAAAGCGTAATCAAGCAATGCCGATCATATTTATATCGTGTGTTCATAATTCATTCTAAACTTTGATCTCGTTTCTTATACTCGATTAATAACAAATACATAGTTTTCAAAAGAATTAATTATCGAAGTCTAGGATCCAAGTTGCAAAAGAAATAAATGGATAAGTATCCTTTATCTCGTCTACTTGAATTCAACCAGATAATTATTCATTATCAATTATATCTTATTATACAATTCCTACATTTATGGGATCGCTAATATCAAATTTAATTAGACATGTTTGATCCTATCTATGCCTTAATACTCTCTTGGTTAGGTATCCTTTATCACAAAAGATTTCCGATAAAATCATCCATTTTTTGTAAAAACATGTGTAATCGACCTATAACTTGGTTATAGAAATCAAGAAGACACCCCGACCATCAAAAGATAAAACTAAGCAGGTAGATATCCTTTATCCCACTAGTACATACAAGAGATGTCTCAGTGCTCTTCAAAAATCATTGCATAGATTTAAAGTTTGTAAAAGGGTATTTTATATAATAATTCTAGTTTAAAAACATATGATCTAAATGTTATTACATGCATATAATAAACCATGGTACCAATTTTCTAAAGAATATTACTTTTAAAGGTTCTACACAAAAAGCTAGTTTTTATATAATTTGATGTGATTCAATTTTAATAATCGATATTAATTTTGAGTGCATTTGAACCTTTTATATATTTAATAAACTTCATTTTATTACTTATATATTTGAAGTGTGTATAAGTTATAAAAATCACCATTTTAAAATTTATATTTGCTATTTTGTAATTTAGCATTATTAACTATTTTATAAAACCAGATTTTATTTTAAAACAATAACCTATTACATCTTATGTCCACATTATAAATTCTTAAAACCAAACTCCATTTGAATTTTACTTTATCCAAAAATTATTTTACCATGTGAAAAACTAATTTATCAACCACACATAATAATTTCATAAAATAAACAACACAAACATACATAAACTTATATGTGCCTAAACATAACCAACTAATGACATTTTTTGTGAGCCAACACAAAAAATATCAAGTTCATTCTTAATATGACATTTTAAGGGACCAAAAATATTCTTATAATGTTGTTATAGAATCTCCAACTTGACTAAACACCCCTTTCTTGGAAAAGATTGAAAAAACCTCTTTAAAGCATTATTTCAACAATTGTCACTAAAAGTCCAACAGCACTTTGCAAACAGCATTAGTGACACTTTTAAAAAAACTATCACTAACTTTTAGCATGTTGTTAAACTGGAAAATTGCTCTCTGGCTTTCAAAAAACGGCTCCAGCTTCATTTCTTGTTACATTTTTGTACAAATAAATTATTTCTAACAAATAATCTATAATAATCAAAAAATAATAATCTATTTAATTCATTACATACTATATCAATAAATAAATTATTGCAATCTTTTTTATTATAAAAACATCAAACACAACAACACAACAAACATAATGATCCTTAGCTAGTTTATGCACATCATACATATCAACATATACATTAAACAACCTTTATTTTCCAAGACAAATTTAAATGACAAAAGATACATGAAAAAATTTTGTCACATAAAATAACAATTATAAAGTTGTTATAGAAAATATATATGAACTTGTTTTTATATAAAACCAAGTTATCAAAATTCTCCAAAAACTAAGATTTCCAAAAATCAAAAAATCTAACCAAACATACAAGATGGCTCTTGATACTAATTGTTGTGTTTTTATTCAAAAACTATTTTCAAAAACATGATTTTCTTAGCAACAAAAGACTTGATCATTTTTGAATAACATAAACAAGTTAAAACTAACAAGAATCATTGTACAAAGTTTGGAAAGAAAGCAAACACAACCGAAGGAGAATAAGAAGAACAAATAATAACCTTTGTAGTTCTTTGGATCCTCTTGAACGCTTGGAAGTTAATGTAGAATGGTGAACTTTAGAAACAACAACAGAAACCAACTTGATGTAGATGCTAATCTTAACTCTTAATCTCTTAAGCTTGAAGTTCATAACCAGAGTATGAAATTCAAGAAAGTATAAAAGCAAGTAATATATTCATGACTTAAGAAGAAAATGAGAGTGAGTAACGTACCTAACATGTTACGGCTTTGTACATTTGTTAATACAAGAGAATGAAAGCCTTACTCTCATATATATAGCATACACAATGCTCATGAGTCATTAACCATTAAGCACTCATGCGCCTACTAGCTAGATGGTTCCCCATGCTTCTCATTACTTTACATTAAATAAGTATATGACCACTCCCTTTTTATGAATAAACTAGTCAAAAGACCACACATTTTATCTCTTAATTTTCGAAAATAAGAAAGGCAAAAGAAGAAAAAAGTTTTATATTTTATAAACCAAGTTTATAAAATGTAAACTTTAACTTAGTGGTAAAAGACAAGAATATTTATCTAGTCCAAAATGTTGTGCATGAGTTATTAATTCATACCGTATAAATTATATATAATGTTACTTGCTAATTAAAATTATTTTTTCCTACAAATAAATAATTTTTAATTTAATTATAAGAGTTTATTGAATATTTATTAAAACCAATTTCTAATAAATAATTAATTGTATCGAGTTGTTGTTAGTGTGACCCTTTAGTACCATATGTTAATTAGCAATATCACGTTAATATGATTCTTGAGCATACTAGATCTTTCATCTATTTCCTAAATTATGTTATATCTTGAGCTTTTTGTGTGATTTTCTATTTTTGTCATAACTTAGAGTACTATGAGGTGATTTTTGGAACGAGAATGAGTAGTTGTGAAAGGTAGTAGAGGCCTATACTACCCATAGCATAGGACTCACAATTAGATAAAGAAAAGTCACATGGTTACTAAATATCTAAGTAGTTGACATATTTTGTTCATTTCCATCATTACCTTTATTTCGATAATGACTATGAAGATAAATAATATTATGACCCTAGTGTTTATATCGAATTGAGTCCCAATAATCTACAAATTAAGTTTGACATAGCATCTAACTTTAGATTAAAAGAAGGATAATCAAAGTGATGAATAGAAGTATTGTGATCACTATTAAGACTAACCAGCCTGTAGCTAGAAGTGCTACATGCTAGAATGTGATTAGATCACATTAGGACATGAAGGAAAGTATCATCCATGTTGGAGTCTGACTCAAAGAGACCTAAGTCTAGTCGTTGCATCATATGGTGAAAATTCATTAGAAACACGACCCATCATTCTGTTATAGTAGTCAAAGTAAAGATCTTAATTTTTTTCAGGAAGGGGCATGAGTCTCTGATGCAGATAAAATTTAGAATGGAGAGCGGAAGCTAGATTAAGCACCGCAATTAGTCTAATAGTGAAAGACTCAATAGAAAAGACATAAGAGTTATGATTATTACCTAGGATGGAAAGCTAAGGTGCAAAGTCATTATACAAGCCATGTTTTGTTGATGATTCAGGGACATAATTATCCTAAGGGAGAGATAATTGTAACACCCACAAATTCAGGTTAATCAATTAAGATATAATAAGCAATAATAATAATTTTTTATAGAAGATTATTTAGGATGAATAAACTTAACCAAAGTTATATTATATGTGACAAGGACTTCGAACATATAAAGAACATTGAAATCTGACATCGTATGAAAAAATTATGCTTCTTCGAAGT